CGCAGCTCCCTCTCCGGAATGAAAGAAGCAGCCGGCCATTCCCGGAGTCAAGCCCAGTGATTCACCCCACGTTATTTCCACTCGCCAAATGTGAGCAAGTGAGTGGAAATTTTGAGACCTGGTGTAGCTTATATAAAATTGCCAATGTGACACGAAACTCAGATAGCTAACTCCATGGCAGGTGCCCTGTTGCAAGTTTAACCCTCACCTTCCTGTGACAACTCTAAAATGTTATTTGTACCATCACTTTCTGTACTAGATACAGGCCTGCGGCTAATGGTAGGCAGAAGCACAACAGAGCTTTCTGTGCTGACATCGTGTTTCCAGCACAATGACCGAGCTGTCAAAGATAGCTCTTAGTACATACTATTGATCAAGAGCCAGCAGGACAAGCTCCCCCATCATGTGACCACTGTGACAGCCAATCTCAAAGTAAGTAATCAGTCGATCCTTCCCACTCATCCAGCCTACAGACTCTAAAGAGATGCCAGGGCTGGGCAGGAAGGGATTAATGCAGAATTCCAGGTATGGTTCCAGCTTGGACCAATGTAACTATACATATTTCATACCTGGCTGATGCCTATGGAAGCACTGAAGTAGCTTCCGCTACTACAGTGGTCCTTGCAATCTTCTGGGTCCCTTGGTGAGCAGCTGTCCTGCTGCATAGTGAATACAAGGGGTCACTTGCTTGGTACGAGCACCATTCATGGTACACCTTGTATTTTTCTCAATGAATGCAAACCGTTCCCTACCTTGATGAGGTGAAGATTGTGACAAAATCAACCCACCTCTCCACCTTGCCCAATCAGAGAATGCTTTGCATTCATTGAGAAAAATACAAGGTATTCTGTGCCTATGCTGAGTGAGTGACCCCCTGTGTTCAGTATGCAGCAGGGCAGCTGCTCAGCATGAGACTTAGAAGAAGGTGAGGATCACTGTAAGTGTCCGTTCACATATGGAGAAAAAAAAAGGCACAGCACACCAACATCAAAACCTCATCCCCACTGTAAAACATGGCGGAGGGAGCATCATGGTTTGGGGCTGCTTTGCTGCCTCAGGGCCTGGACGGATTGTTGTCATTGATAGGAAAAATGAATTCTAGAGTTTATTAAGACATTTTGCAGGAAAACGTACGACCATCTGTCCACCAACTGAAGCTCCGCAGAGGATGGGTGATGCAACAGGACAATGACCCAAAGCATACAAGTAATTCAACAAAACAATGGCTGCAACAGCACAGAATACGCCTTCTGGAGTGGCCCAGTCAGAGTCCTGACCTCAACCCCATTGAAATGCTGTGGCATGACCTTAAGAGAGCGATTCACACCAGACATCCCAAGAATATTGCTACACTGAAACAGTTTTGTGAAGAGGAGTGGTCCAAAATTACTCCAGATCGTTGTGCAGGTCTGATCTGCAACTACAGGAACCGTTTGGTTGAGGTTTTTGCTGCCAAAGGAGGGTCAACCAGTTATTAAGTCCAAAGGTTCACATACTTTTTCCTCCCTGCACTGTGAATGTTTACATGTTATGTGCAATTAAACCATGACAACATCTAATGTTTGTGTAGTATTATGTTCAGCAGACTGTGTTCTTCTATTGTTGTGACTTAGATGACGTTCAGAGTACATTTTATGCCCAATTCATGCAAAACTCCACGTAATCCCAAGGGGTTCACATACTTTTTCTTGCAACCGTATATGCATACACAACATGTGAAATAACATTTCTATGGTGCCTGTTCACATATGTCTGGTGCATGGCCGGTGCGGATTCAGTGCGGTTTTAAAAAGAGTCATGTCTGATTTCTGAGCAGTGGGTTCAGGTGCAGGTGTGGATTACAGGCTATTGACTTCAATGGGAACCATTCCTAAACCTGTGAACAGGATAAGATCCTGAGCTAATCCTGTCCTGAACCTGATATAAACCTGACCTGAACCTGTGAACAGCTACTTCATCAATTAGCTCTGAAACCTGAGCTTCAATCCGCACCGCATATATGTAAATCAGCTCTAATAGCTGCAATTACTACAGTGATTCCTTCCACGGGCACCCCACAGGTATGGCATATGTTTACAATGTAATAATGAAACATGAATTCAGCTTTCACATTGTGGATGTGAGATGACTCCCAGAAACTGACCTCTAACAAATGCATGCAGGGCTGCCAACCTCCGGAAGTGAAATTTACTGACACAACACAAACAAATCTACTGACAGAGCCAATTTCTTTTACTGACAATTAAAAATTACGGTTTCCAGTGCAAATATCAATATTTTAGCTACAGACATGTAGTTAGTGTGATTAGCAATGTGCTTAAAGCAATAGCAAAGCCCTGTCCTAAAAATAAAAAAAGCTTTTCCCTGCAGGTTTCAGTACAATATGACAACTTGCCTGCAAAAGGAGCCCACCAGCTCAGCGCTGTCACGCCTCCCCCGAAGCTTCCATCTTCCCTCGGTGTTCCTATCTTCAGTCACTTGAATGGCCAGGCTGTAGCGCTGTCACTCCCACACATGCACGCAGGAGTCACGTTGCCACAGTACACACAGCGGGCTGTAAATGTGATCTGAGCTGTGCATGTGCAGCTCAGATCACATTATCTGCTGACAGGCAGGAAGGACATTTATGACAGAAGAAACCTTTGGGGTCTTTTCTGTTATAAAAACCCTGCCTGTCAGCAGATTGTATACCCAACGACTTTACTACCACCTTATAACAAAAGGCAAAAGCATATTCTCCTTTTACATGAAGGTTAGGCTAATAAACCCAGCACAGAGTTCCCCCTTACATCAGAGTTTTCAGGGTTCCCCTTTGCAGTGCAAGGGAGAACTCTGCGGACCCTGATGGACAGGATAACTTTGAGGATTCCGATGTAAGGGGGAATGCTGCAGACTCTGGTGTAAAGGAGAAGTCTGTGGAGTCTGCTGTAAGGAAAAATGCTCTGGACTCAGAGAGACCAGAGTTCCCCTTACATCAGACTCCAGAGTTCTCCTTTACATCACAGTCCACAAAGTTCTCCCTTATATCAGGGTCCGCAGAGTTCCCCTTTACATCAGAGTCCTCAAAGTTTTCTCTTACAGTGTAAGGTAGAACTCTGTGGACCCTGATGTCAAGGGGAACACTGGTCACCAGAGCCCCACTTCCTTACACAAGAGTCCACAGAGTGCCCCTTACATCACAGTCTGCAGGATTCCATCTTACAGTGCAAGGGGAACTCAGCAGACCCCGATGTAAAGGGGAACTCTGATGTAAAGGGGAACACTGCGGACCATGATGTAAAGGGGAACACTGCGGACCATGATGTAAAGGGGAATGCTGTGTGGACTCTTGTGTAAAGGGGTTGTTTGAGGACACTGATTGAAGTGGGAACACAAGGGTGTGGAGGGAGTAGGACTCTGTTGACCACAGACCATCTTTCTCAGAGTGGATACACCAAGGTAAGAGGGAGTTACTGATAAAAGGGGAACCTTTATATCTGTGCCCCCCTTACCTTAGTATAATTACTCCCAATTCCATGTGTAACCCCCCCCCCCAGAGAGAGTGTGGCCTGGCCGGAGTAATGTCACACGGCCAGAAGAGAATGCAGCTAAGTCAGGCAGTCCTCCGGGGGGCTCACTCCTGTTTTTTCTTAGTCATCACCAAGGGTCTTTCACACAGGCCTTCCATTTTTTCATCAGTTCAGTCATGTTTCTTCCGAGAAATAAAACGGATCAGTTCACATCAGTTTCTTCATCTGTTCACTTCTGTTTTTCATCAGTTTACATCCATTTTTTTACATCCTTTACCAAAAACTGACTGTATGTCCGTTAACATCCACTGACATCCGTTTTCATCTGTTTTGTTTTCTTTTTATGGAACAAAAATAGGGTTTTCTTCCGTTCACAAAAATGGATGATCATCCGTTCACATCCATAGAAATACATGGGTGTCCATTTTTCATCTGTAAACGGACAGATGAAAAAACAGACATATGGAACGCCTGTGTGAAAGGGGCCCAAGTCTGAATCTACCCATTCAAACCCGACCAACTTCGGGAACTACACACGTGCGGCTGCTGCAGAGACATACAGGGGATGGGTTCCGGTAACTGCCCCCCCACCAGTGCACCCATCACATTCCCTGTGCACCAAATGTTTCATTGCCCAGGCCCCAGTGTACTTCCCTCCAGCAACATATGTCACATTTACCTTTCCCTTCCTTGAATGAACACGAGTGATCAGTACTGATGACGCACTGTGTTCATTCAAACTGAAGCATAGTAAACTGTGGGGTTTTCTTTTGGGGGGTCCCTATCAGATTGGCTGTATGGGGCCCCGTGGCTTCTAACAGCAGCCCTGAATGCATGGCAGACATGACTACCCCTTAGTACAGGATCATGGACGTCCATAGAACATGACACCTCATTTCACCAGGAATAGTATGTGACAGGGGCAGACTGACAACTCATGGGGCCCCCGTGCAATAGGGGATCATGGGGCCCCTGTGTCCTTGCCCAAACTCAAAAAAGCCTATGAAAAAGGTAATAGGGGCATCTCATGGGGCCCCCTACTGACCCTGGGCCCTCAGGCAGTGCCCGAGTTTCCAAATGGTCAGAGTGCCCGATATGTGACAATCCCAGGCCTCCTAGGAGGAAGCGCTCCGTCCTGCGTACATCACACAATGCAGCCTTGTATAGCAGTCACAGGCCGATCACACAAAAGCGTCCCTCTCCTCCCAATCTCCGCCTTTATTCCGTCCCGCTACAATTACACAGATCATGGCCCGCCCACTCGCTCCAAGCTCCACCCCCTACGCATTGACTGACCCTTAGCCACACCTAATCCCTCCCAGCTAACACGAGAGGGTCCGCCCTCCTTGCTATCCCCGCCTACTCCCTCCAAAACATCAGCACTTGCCCCGATACCCATCTCAGGCCACCCTATTGGAGCGCCCTCCACGCAGACGGCTCCACCCCATCCCACGCCCCTAGCTGATATCACCCCTGTAAAGCGGCCGCCCGATGGCTACAGTGGGCGTGTCCCAAACAAGGAAGCCCGAGGTGCCCCCCTCAGACATGGATGATCATGAAGAGAACGGCGGCGCTTCGTTGGCCGCACATGGCAGCTCCCCCCGAGGCGGGCAGAGTGAGGCGCCCATGGTTGACACCCCCACAGCGGCCCGACACCTCTTCCAAAGCCTGTCCCGGAACCCGCCGGGCCCTCTACCACTTTCCCAGGGACTGCCGCTTCGCTTCGACCGGAACATCAAACAAGCGTTCTACAACACGGGGGCCCTGCTGTTCGCGGCCGGCTGCTGCGGGGCTGCCATCCTGGTGTACTTCATCCTGGAGGCCTTCCTCCGGCCACTGCTATGGGCAGCACTTTGCGGCACCTTCCTCCATCCCTTCAAACACACTCTGACAGGTGCCTGCCGCCGCTGGCTGGCCCGGATCCAGCGCCAGGGCTCGCCCATTGTCCTGGCCACCTTCTTGTTACCCGTCAGCTTCATCAACCACAGTCTGGAGGCCCTGGGGGAGCTGCTGGCCCGGAGACTGCCATTGCTGGCCGGGGCGCCTCTCCTCTATATGCTCTACTGGGCGGCCAGCTACCTGGGAGTGCGACACCTGCTGGGCGCCTTGTGTGGTGTCATCTGCGGGGCCCTGGACTACTTCAGCTCCCAGTGGGTGAGTGGACTGTCCTGTACAATGGGGATCTCCTCTCATCAGGGGAAGGGGCCACCTCCAGGGGGCTTCACATCTGCTCTTGGCTGGACCGGAACGTGTCAAAACGTCAAGTGGAATTCCAATACAAAGTCCCCGGTCACACCGCTGCAACTTATCGTGTGATGGTTCCAACTAGCATGACAAGTTGCACCCTCACTGTCCTCAATGGAAGCAGTCATATGGTGCGATTCCGTCTCCATCGGAGTCTCAACAACCTTGACAGTACTTCATGCATTACTGTTTGTAAGTTCAGGTGCGACCTGCATAGACCTCTGTACATGAAGTCAGAGTTCTCTTCCAAGTTGTACCTGAAATCACTGACCTCTGACTTTACAATCGTAGCAAATCAGGGCTTGGTGTGACCGAAGACTTGGTTTAAAGGATATATAGATAAAACTAACTCCTGCGCCAGTAAGTACAGATGATCAATTTAAGCAGCCAGCCCTGAAAATGCCACAACCACGGCACCAAAACAGTGAACTAAAATATAAACAAACAGTACGGCGCTAAGGGTCACAAATATAAATGTATATATATAGTTAAGCAGTCACACAAGCCACTCAATAGTGTGTGGCCTGGGTTGTCATAAACATATGCACACATAAAGATATCATAGGTGTGAAGTGAAACACACGCAAAAAAGATCTCCTGCATTACAGTGACGCAAAAATAACTTTGTGACTAGTGTCCATGTGCATATAACGGATTCCATGCAGATGTGAACTGCAATGTGCCAATCCTCTATAGCTGGGGTGCCCCCTCACCTTCCTGCCCAGGCCCCTAAGGACCAATGAGCCTTGAGTAATGCAGTGGGTGTCCCTCCGATGTAAGATGGATCACTCGACAATGGTGGTGGAACTCCCTCCTCTTGGCTATACCATAAATCGTAGGTGGTACCAGTATATGACTCTCCGGTATATGACTCTCCAGAAGGATCACCTGTCTGCCCGTATCCGCCTCCTCTCTCCCGCCGAGAGAGAGGAGGCGGATACGGGCAGACAGGTGATCCTTCTGGAGAGTCATATACTGGTACCACCTACGATTTATGGTATAGCCAAGAGGAGGGAGTTCCACCACCATTGTCGAGTGATCCATCTTACATCCGGAGGGACACCCACTGCATTACTCAAGGCTCATTGGTCCTTAGGGGCCTGGGCAGGAAGATGAGGGGGCACCCCAGCTATAGAGGATTGGCACATTGCAGTTCACATCTGCATGGAATCCGTTATATGCACATGGACACTAGTCACAAAGTTATTTTTGTGTCACTGTAATGCATGAGATCCTTTTTTGCGTGTGTTTCACTTCACACCTATGATATCTTTGTGTGCATATGTTTGACAACCCAGGCCACACACTATTGAGTGGCTTGTGTGACTGCTTAACTATATATACATTTATATTTGTGACCCTTAGCACCGTACTGTTTGTTTATATTTTGGTTTAAAGGATACGTTCACCTTCGGGAACATGTTACATGTTTGAGGTGGAATATGTGACATGTTTCCACTCCTGCAATTTTTTTTTTTTCAGGCGCATTAAAAAAATAAAACAGATTGCCATACTAGCGAGGTGATGTTAGTGCAGCAATTTCTCCCATTGTGCCTTTGTGTTATAAAGCCGCCCCCACCAGGGTGAGGGGGTTCTTTTTCTGCCTGTAAACGCCTATGTGTGCACATAGGCTAACAGAGGTGCGCTTACAGGCAGAGAACAAAATGTCAAACACCTATTAAAGTGTGCATGAGGTCTTAAGACCTCCACGGATCAGACTTGTTTTTTCCCGCACATCCAACAGGTGCTCAAGGAATTAAGATCTGGACAATTTGGAGGCAGTCAACACCTCAAACTCAAGCAAAACGTTTTCTTTTACATCGGGTGGATGGCCGGGTGTATGTTTTGCTTCCCTAGGGAACAGGATTCAGTATGGGGAGAAGGCAAGCAGGCACAGGCAGTGTGATGCTTTGGACAATGTTCTGCAGGGACTTAACTTTGGGTCTCTTCATTCTTGTGGATGTTACTTGACACGCACCAACTACCTAAACATTGCTCACCCCCTGCACCCCTTCATGAAGGCTCTGGCCTCTTCCAGCAGGATAAATGCAAAAATGGTTTAAGGAACACCAAGGGGTTGATTTACCAAAGGCAAGTAGGCTGTGAACTGGAAGTGCATTGGCTCTAGATCTAAGGTGAACATGCAAGGAAAATAAACAGCATTATTTTCTTGCACATGATTGGATGAAAGAAATCAGCAGAGCTTTGCCTCATTTCAGAGCTTCCCCTCGGGTATAAAGCAACTGCATTTGCAGTGCACAGTATATTTACCTCTAGTAAATCAAGCCCCATGAGTTTGAGGTGTTGACTTGGCTTCCAAATCATCCAGATCTCAATCCCTTCGAGCACCTGAGGGATGTGCTGGAAAAACAAGCCGATCCATGGAGGTCTGGAGGGCTAATGCACACTGTGGTCAAATAAAAAAAGCCACTCTTACAAGAGGTTTTTGTTTTTTTCTCTTCCTGGAAGTGCACCTCTGTTAGCCTACAGTGGATATAAAAAGTCTACACACTCCTGTTAGGTTTCTGTGATGTAAAAAAATTAGACCAAGATAAATCATTTCTGAACTTTTTCCACCATTTAATGTGACCTATAAACTGTACAACTCAATTGAAAAACAAACTGGTCTTTTTTTTTTTTTTTTTTTTTGGGGGGGGGGGGGGTAAATATAAAAAACTAAAATAATGTGGTTGCATAAGTGTGCACACCCTTTAACTGGAGATGTAGCTGTGTTCAGAATTAAGCAATCACATTCAAAATCATGATCAATAGAGTCATTACAAACCTGCCATCATTTTAAAGTGCCTCTGATTACCCCAAATAAAGTGTAGCTGTTCTAGTAGGTCATTCCTGGCCTTTTTCTTAGTCGCATCCTACAGCAAAAGCCATGGTCCGCAGAGAGCTTCCAAAGCATTAGAGGGATCTCATTGTTAAAAGGTATCGGTCAGGAGAAGGGTACAAAAGAATTTCCAAGGCATTAGATATCCCATGGAACACAGTGAAGACAGTCATCAACTGTAGAAAATATGGCTCAACAGTGAAATTACAAAGAACTGGATGTCCCTTCAAAATTGATGAAAAGACGAGAAGAAAAAAACTGGTCTGGGAGGGAGGCAGCCAAGAGGCCTACAGCAACATTAAATGATCTGCAGGAATATCCAGCAAGTACTGGCTGTGTGGTACATGTGACAACAATCTCCCGTATTCTTCAAATGTCTGGGCTATGGGGTAGAGTGGCAAGATGGAAGCCTTTTCCTACAAAGAAAAACATCCAAGCCCGGCTAAATTTTGCAAAAACATTTTTGGCCATAATTCCAAAACAACACTGCACATCACCAAAAGAACACCATATCCACAGTAAGTGTGGAGGCAGCATCATCATGCTTTGGGGCTGTTTTCTTTCAGCTGGAACTGGGGCCTTAGTCAAGGTAGAGGAAATTATGAACAGTTCCAAATACCAGTCAATATTGGCACAAAAAACTTCAGGCTTCTGAGGAACTTCATCATAAGGAATGGTTTCACCAGAAGATGATTAAAGTTTTGAAATGGCCCAGCCAGAGGGCAGACCTGAATCCGAACATCTGTGGGGTGATCTGAAGAGGGCTGTGCACAGGAGATGCCCTCGCAATCTGACAGATTTGGAGTGTTTTTGCAAGGAAGAGTGGGCAAATATTACTACATATATCAAGAATGCAGCGCTGTAATGTGTGTGTGTGTATATGTATGTATATGTGTGTATATATATATATATATATATATATATATATATATATATATATATTTAAATTATAAAGTGATAAATTCAAGCGCTATAGTTGAGCGCTGTAAAGTGGCAACAGTGTGTCGTCTCAAAGTAGATGAAGTACAATAACATAAATGCACATTATAAACGCATAACAAGCCAAAATATCAGTGTTGAAGAAAACTTTTCTTATAGGTGCATTGGTAATCCAGTGTCTGGGGGGTACTGGTCACTCTCACTGGAATTGCATAAATAAGGTGCTTGTGACTTCCGTGGAAAAGAAAAGAGGAGTGCTTGCACTCACCAGATGCACAATAATATTGCGCGTGTATGTAATAATCAGGACACTAGTGGTAATCTAGGAACCGGTAAGGATGTTGCACTCTGTAGGCACTTTGTACACCCTGGGATGGACTTCAGACCTCTCTGTGGGACCCTCACCGCATACAGGAACTGCTCCTTGGTTTCACTTACACCCGGCATATATAGTGCTTGAATTTATCACTTGTCACTTTATAATGCATTCAATTTATATATATATATATATGTTTATATATATAGCGCTGCATTCTTGATATGTTTCAAAGGATCTAGGGTTTTTTTCCTTATGCTAGCTGCTTTTATTCTTTATTTATAAGAAGCGCTCGCTTGATTACTCATTTAATATTACCAAGTCGTGATGTGCCATGCTGATAGCCTCATACCCAAAAAGACTGCTCTAATAAAATCAAAAGGTGCTTCAACAAAGTATTAGTTTAAAGGTGTGCACATTTATGCAACCATATTGGTTTTTTTTTTTTTTTACTTCCCTCCACTTAAAAGATTTCAGTTTGTTGTTTAACTGAGTTGTACAGTTAATAGGTTACAATAAAGGTGGAAAAAGTTGTGAAATCATTTCTTTATCATTTTTTTACATCACAGAAACCTGACATTTTACCAGGGGTGTGTAGACCTTTTATATCCACTGTATGTGTTCATGCACACACAGGTGTTTACAGGCGTATTAGAAAAGGAGTGTTTACAGCCAGAACAAATCACAAAAAAAAAATCAGTTCATTCAGGAGAGGAGCTTTTGGGCAGAATAATGGTTGGTGCTTCTTCCATTGCTCCAAGGTCCTGTATTGGTGCTCACGTGCCCATTGTAGGCACTTATGGCTGTGTATGTGGGTGAGCATGGGCATCCTGACTGGTCTGCGGCTATGTAGCCCCATATAAACTGCAGTGCATTGTGTGTTCTGACACCAACTTTTTCAGCAGTTTAAACTACAGAGCTTATCTAATGGATTGGACTACACTGGCCAGTCTTTGCTCCCCATCTGCAGCTTTGAGCCTTGCCCACCCATGACATTGTCACCGGTTGTCCTTCCTTGGACTACTTTTGGTTAGGCCCTGAGCAATGCAGACCAGGAACATCCCACAAGAGCTGCAACTTTGATTTGCTATGACCTAATCATTTAGCCCTGTGTTTCTCAACCTTTTTCCAATCAAGGCACCCTTTAACCAGTTCCCACCTGGCCTATTTTCAGCGATGGGCGGGACCTCTCTAGGTTTGGGTGGACATCATGATGTCCTCACATGCGCCCCCTGGACTGCGCTGCAGTGCTTTGTCGGTGACAGATGAGGGTACCATGTGATCACTGTGACCAATTATCTAAGCCGTCTGATGTGGATATTTGGGTCTGCACAAATATGTACAGATCATGCAATCTCTTTTGAAAATGGTTGGAAAAAAAGTTTCAATTTGCTCTGTGTGTTGTGCAGTGATTGTATGGACAACATTGATGTTCATGTGGTTTAGTTTCCACTCTTGAACAAAGGGAGTAAGCTATAATTGACAGAGTTGTATTGATAGTTTTACTGCACATAGATTCTTTTCTTGGTTATCGCATGTTATAATTTGTTTTTGTTTTCAACTTTTCCCAGATTTGGACACTAGTCATTGGGTATATCCTGGCAGTTTCATTCAAGTGGAATGTAGGAACCCAGCGATATCTAGCTGCCATTTCTATTCCTATTTGGCTCATTCTACTCTTTCACTTCGGTATGTAGATTAAGTGGTTTCTTTTTTTTTTTTTTTTTTTTTTTCATATATTTGGATGCTTTGGCAGAGCAACAACTGCAGTATGAGTGGAAATAATTAAAAGGAAGCTTGCTACAAGCCTAGCTGATTTACACTGAGCAAGTGATAAGTGGGGGGGAAAAAAACATAGGCAAAGATTGCCTTCAGTAAAAACCACATGTTAAAACAATCCGTTTCAGTGATCTATGGTCATCTAAAGATGTAACACGAAGCCTTGTTCTGTAATAGTTAAAGCGTTCTTCACCCTAGAAACAAAAAAAATGTAAAAGTCAGCAGCTACAAATAATGTAGCTGCAGACATTTAATAGACACCGAGCTGTTGAAGGATCCAGTGCCATCCTCACCTGAGCTGATATGTTAACTCTGGCCAGCCCGCTCTGACTCCTTGTGGCTTCACAGCCGGTTGCCCTCTATGTGAACAGTCATGCACAATTCTGGGATCTGTGACAGGCGGGGGTGGGAGGAGAAATTTCTGGTGCATCTGTCACGGCAATCTGACTGGAAGTGGAAGCAGGTACTTGTCAAAACCAGGTACCCACCCCCTCCAAGGGTGTGGAAATTTTTTAAAAACTTAATTGTCCAGGGACTAAATCTGTGTCCCACTCTACTTGTCCCTCATGACAATCTACTTGTCTTGGTAAACAAAAAAAAAAAAAAAAAAGTTTTTTTACCAAAACCATATTTAAATCTGCTTTAAGTAATGTCTGGGGCTTTTAAAAACAAAAGGGGCTTTATGGTGACTTAAACATTTTTTAAATTTTTAACATTGCGCTATATATCTCCTCCTCATCCCCCTGTCTGTCTCCAGCACCACCCCCAGGGACTAGCAGGGAGTGGGAGAGACCTTTCAGTGCTATGAGCACCGCATAAATGGATATCCAACATGTCAAACCTTAAATTTGTGCGTGCTCATGAAATAACAAACTTTAGTAATCCTATATTTTCTAATGTGATATAAAGTGCAGCTCTGAGCAAATAATTAATAAATAAAATGAATACATATAAAGAGGAACATCCAAGTGTTATATATATATATATATATATATATATATCTATCTATCTATATATCTCCAATAATTAAATTTTATATACGAAATGAAAATGGGTGGAACAGTCAAGTACACCATATAAGAGCTCTTAAATGAGAAAACGGACTAGTAATTCAAGTGAAATATTAATATCCATATAATAGGCAAATTAGCCACAAATATCAGTAACATAATAGTTGTCAAATAAGTAAGAGTATAGAAATGAACTGCTGAAGTCCACAAAATATATTAGTGTCCGTAGGTGCACCAATCTTAAGTGCAGGTTAAACCATAGGTACAAAACAAGTGCAGGGGTCCACCACCTCTGTCAGATGTAAACTCACCAGATAGCTACTGGTTAATAGCATGTATGTATATCACATCTGTAGATCCAGAGGCAGCCAGGGGTTGTAATGCAAACTGCTCCACTCCAGAAAGGATAGGGCCCTTCCCTAGGGAAAATAGCTCACCACAGGAGCCCAGAAATTGGTATATAGTGTAGTATTTTATTTTAGTAAAGATAAAACATCCACGTGAAATCGAATATGTAAAACCGGTAAAAAGGAAATACCAAGATGGCCGCTGCTCCATCCTTCAGTAGTGTGACGTCAGCAAGTGTGGCTCTGCCCGACGCATTTCGTGCGCATGCACGTCTTCAGGGGTAGGCCCTCTTTTTGAATAGGCTTTTAGGATCATTAAAACCCCATTGTTAAGCTGCATTTTTCTTCTCCCTCCAGATGCTCCCACTTTTGCTGCTAAAATGAGTGGGGCAGCCATGCAGAAGACATGGTTATGGCACAGTTGTCCATTACTTAGGAGTTTAAAACTGGAGGTGACGAGGCAGTAAAACTCCTCAACACCTCTCCAGAGGGTAAAGCAGGTGTAAAACTTTGCTAGTGAAACTGCAGAGAATATTTTTTACAATGAACACATACTGGGTGTAGATGGCTCAGAGAATACAGGGCTTGTTCTTGAAATTACAGTAGCTTCAGTCTGCATTTTTTTTTTTTTCCTTGTAATCTAGGGGTGTCCAACCTTTTTGACTTTCCTGGACCATTGGAAGAAAAGGAATTGTCTTGGGCCACACATAAAATACACTAAGGGCAAGCGGGTGCCTGGTCTGCAGCTGCACCACTGTCACAACATATTCCAAAACAGGATCGGCGACTTACTGTATATTTTCATTAAAATCTTATTTTATTCAAGCATTTCACAGAAAAACACCCTTAGATAGAGATGTTACAGTAGATGTAATGGAAGATGTAAAAAATATTTTAATGAACATACACAAAGTTGCGGATCCTCTGTTTTGGCAGCTGAAATTTGGGAAGAGGGGGTGGTGCAAAGCTCACCCCAGCAACCCCCTAGATCCAGCCATGCACTTCCCTGGCGCTAGCAGGAGTCCCTGCCTCTGGTGCTGTTGCAGTCCTGGCATTCCTCCACACTTGCATGTGCCTTGCTTGCCAGTGCTGGCATCCCTCCAGACGTGCATGGGAGCCAGGCTTCTCTGCCAGCCGTCACAGCTGCTATGCTTGCAGGGCATTTCTCCAGACGTGCCCAGGTGGCATGCTCAAGTCTCTTGACCCGTTGGTTTGGGAAACCCTAATCAGTGATTTATGTGTATTTTTTTTATTTTATTTTTTTGTGTAAAAATGAATATTGGGGCTCTGATATATTCAAATTATATACAAAGTGATGCTAAACACACATGGCTTACATTGTCCCTTCTCTTTCTGTATATGGATGATGGCACTGTAATTAGTTTAATTAAAAGAAGTATCTTTTTCCTAATCGATATACAGCTGTCACATGACCCAGCTCTTTCCCAGCCTGTCTAAGCAGGAGGAGCTTTTAGTCCAAAAAAAAAAAAAAAAAAAACAAAACCGCCTTTGGTGGAATACAGAGTCAAAATATAATAAACTGTTTTAAATTGTCATACAAATATATATTTGAAGTAAAATTTTAGTTTTGTGGAAATAACATGGTGTGGGTGGTTTTCTGCCCCTCCCCATGTCTGTATCTCAGAATAACAAGGAGGTGAAGCAACCATTAATCTGCATGTTGGTCACATGGGCTGCTCAGATGTGATCGGGAGGAAATGCATAGAAACTCACTGAAAACTGAGCATGTGCACAGTTGCCTACAGCTGCAAAATCCCTAGCTGCAGGGAACATGGACAGAAGGGGGAGATAAAGAACAGCAGGAACCAGGTGTGTTGCAGAATACAGAGAATTAATCTCATAGTGACTATGAACAGAAGGTAATACAGCATTTATTGATAGAACCTTGTTGTGGGTTTAGTGTCAGTTTAAAGCAGTAGTATCCTATAGCATATTATTTGCATTCTTCTACTGCAGCTGCTTACCCTTTTTGTAACCTCTCAAAAAGCACCCATTTGCTGCAGTCAGACATTCTTGGTGTTCTACTTTTTTTTTCTGCATTCCAATAAAACCATTTCAAAATAACCATATATTTTGTTGTTTGGTGTTTAGTATAAAAGTTATGCAGACTGGGGAGTGGCCCACTTGCCTGCCAAAGTGCCACATTTAGTGTCCCTGTCAAGCATAGGGACTATACCAATAGTCAACACTGTCTATTAGTTTGGAAATCAATCAAAATGCACCACTCAGGACCTAAACAACAAGGAGCAAACCCTAACACGATCAACAAAAGTGCCGTGTCTCTTGTGATGGGCATCGTTGCAGGCTACCTACAGTATTCATTGGTGTTGGCAATGTCTGGGTGTGGTTAAACCACAAACTGCTCACACTGTTACACAGTTTATGAAATGGACAAAAGAAGGCTGGCTATTTTTTTTTTTTTTTTTTTTTTTTTTTTTTTGGAAAATGTCAAATCATTCTCAGTTCACATGCACATGTTATATTCTTTCAAGGGAGAAGCCCTTGTAACCCCCTGCTGTTGAAGCTGGAGATTCTGTGCAAATCTGCAACCATTACTGTACAAAGCTGATAGAATAGGAAATAGTTTTCCGGACCCTACCCTCCTATCTTTCAATTGATCTTTCCGGGACCCTACCCTCCTATCTTTCAATTGATCTTTCCGGACCCTACCCTCCTATCTTTCAAGTGATCTTTCTACCCTCCTATCTTTCAAGTGATCTCTAAGCCTAAAAAACTATTGACTGCAGCAACTTGACCCTTCTAAGATCGTCTCTCCAAAAACAATTTGAGACCTGCAAACAGACAAACCCCACTAACCCCTGTGCCTGTACCACCATCTCAAACTGCATAAAATCCAGGGGTCTGTTTTTGTTGTCCTGTCAATCTCTAGCTCACTCTAGTGTAATGCAGTGACATAGGGTTTGGCGACAGGAACAACATCGACCAGTGGAGAATATGCTATTTGATGCCTCTGAAAGTGTCTGTCAGTTGCAAGGTCAGAGCTCTTTAACAGAGAATATTCAGCACACACGCCAGCTGCAAAGGGAAGTATGAAGCATCTTCTTTCACCAGGGTTTTGCTGATTCAAGTTTTGACACCCTGTGCCAGGGTTGCTTTAATGAACACTATTGTTCTCCCGCTGACATAAAAGCTGTTCTGTACACAGTCAGAGGCACACCAATCGCTTGAGTCGAGTACAGTATATTTATCTGCCCTATCCCAAAAGTGCAATTTATTAGCCAAAAAAAGCAAGTAAAACTGTAGTGTTCGATAACCTGCACTAGTACAAAAAAAAGGAAATTGACATTGAGAAAGTAAAGCCCTGTTTATAGCACACCCGTTTCTTCAATATCCTAATTGTAAACTCCTTATGTTTAAACTGTGTTTAAGATATATTGTACCATTACATAAAAGGTGCTTTGATGTGAGGGGGAGGTGTTCTGTATTAACACATGTTCCCCTCTCGTCTTTCAGGACAGCACCTTGAGAGACCTCGGCTCCTCCCCACCTGAGGAAACGCCTCCACCCTAAA